CTATATTTTCTTACCTTATGGATGGATAGGATGTTGTTACATGGCGATGCTAAAACTTCCATATGAGGTGTTTACATTAGCCATGATGGTCTGCTGTGTTTAGGCACAAAAACTGGGTCCTAAAGGCCAAATTAAAAAGCAGTGACACTGCCAACTGAAAACAGTTCACTGCATTTGAAGGTGCCTTTAAGACAATTAAAAACATAATCTGCCCTAGTTGTGAAATGAAGTCCATTTTTAAAATATAGGGGTCACGTGGTTGAAATCCCCTGAGATGGTGGAGTGGATTACGCCACACGCGGTCTCGGCGTGCGCACGCGGAGGGACGTAAACAGCAGCAGCGGCGGCACGGGAGAACTCTCTAGGCATGTAGTGCGGTCTGAGACCTACCGCCAGCAACTCAGTGTCTCTGTTGCACACGATCTCCTTCACCGTAACATGCCCCTGAGGGCTGTTTCACAAAAGCAGAACTAGAAATCCAGGATAAGAGATAAAGCCAGGCTTGACCTGGTGCGATCAGTGCATCCTGGCTTTATCAGTTTCACAAAGGCCAAACCAGGCTCAGAAGGTGCGACTATGTCAAGCCAGGTGGAAGTAATTCAGATAAATGGGCGTCAACAGCTTTCTTCAAGTGCCCACGCTGTCGATCACAGATTCATTGATGCCGAAATGGAAAAGACGTGTGTAGCGTACTTTATTCACTGTTACTCACTGTGTGTAACGAATAATATAAAAAAAAGAAAGAGAAACACGGCCGCAGTATTAAAAGAGCGAGAAAAAGCTGGCATAATGCACCATCAGCAGCTTGTTCTTTTTTGGACAATGCACACATGTTTCTTCTATGTTTGCATTGCATGTTTTCTTATTAACCTTTCTTAAAGCCTTTTCAGTTATTTAGCATTTTTTATTGCAAGCAGCATTTTTAACAAATACTTTTAAAAAGTGAGTGTATATATGTATAGTAGGCTTGGCAGAGAGGCTGGAGGTCTGTCAGTTTTGTGTGAAAATGGTGTACTTGTTTAGTCATTATGGATAATAGTTAAAAAGTCAGTGTTGTGGTGCTCATAGAAAATACTGTCTGATATCTGTAACTTGAGCCTGAGGCTGTAGTCCTGCAATCTGACAGCCAGGCTGCCAATGTAGTAAGTATAAGCACACCCACAGGTCAACACTTCCTGCTGTGCTAACTGTTATGTGTTTTACAAACTGTCAGATGTCTGAACTGCACACACTTGAAAAAAATTAACTAAATAAAAACAGGACTTGGACTTAGATATGGAGATGAATAGAAGGAAATCCCGCAACTCCAAAGAGAAGTGATTTTTGCACAGTACACTGTAAGCCTGACTGTAACACAATGTATTACGGTAATCATTGTTTTCTCTCCCAAACTCGCAGCAGATGATCCCAGGGAGAGAAAAACATTGTGCTGTCCTCTCCCTGTTGCTTCATGAATTAACAGTGCACAATATAAGGGACTATAATTTCAGAGTATTATAAAATGACATAGGAATCCTACATAGTGTGTGTGAGTTTCTTGAGTGACCTGTAATGTCCCGCGCTTACTTTTAAGGCACAATATAACATTATAATTATGACAGTTTCAGTTAAGAGCTGTGATATTTCTGGCTTCTCACACATTCAGTCGGTCCTCTATTGGCTGCCACACTTCGCTGGTTTATTGCTGTACCCGTGTTACTTTTTCTTCTATTTATAAGTGCTTTCATTCCACATAAACCTACTCGCGGATGCTCATTGTGTGCAAAGTATGGTGCACGCATCTTCTCCAATTATGAAACCTAATAACCACAACCTACTATTTTAATACAGGCTAATGAAAAATCTGCAAAACACACACATAAGAACATGAAATAACAAACCTTTGGTTTGTGACCACTGACAGATAAGGCACCAGGATTCACTAAGCCTGGCCTGTTAGTCTGGTCTGGCGCAGGCCAGCTGCACAGAATAAATCACCATGGTAACTTATGTGCTACTGCTTTCTTGAAACCCAGTCACGGCTTAATTCAGCCAGGATATCTGGAAAATCCCAGCTCAATCCGCTGTCTTGGTTTTGTCAAACAGCCCTCTGGTTACACCATCTGTTGTTGATAAACAGCACGAGTCCCCCTCCTTTGTTTTTGCCGCTGTGTCCACAGTCCCGGTCCGCTCTCACTGTAGTGAATCCAGGTAGATCCACAATAGTGTCCGGGGTGTTCTGGGTTAGCCAGGTTTCAGAGAGGCAAAGTAAACTGCATTCCCTGAACGTCCTGTCCGTCCTCACAAGGGCAGCCAGCTCGTCCGTCTTGTTGGACAGTTTACATTCCCCATCATTATCGACGGAACCGAGGGCTTGTACTTCCACCGCTTAGCCGCTGGCCTTCACCTTCGCTCCGGCTCTGCAGCCTCGGCGCCTCTTCCTCAGCTCCTCAGGTATTTGGTGGAAAATGCCGGCTCGTCCCATTGTTTGGAGTGAAAGCAGCTTTTCCCTTGAATAAACAAGTTGTCCACTGCTATGTTGTCCGTAAAAGTAATTGTATTCTTAGGAAATATAAAGTTTTACACAGCTAGCATTTAAAGAGTTAACGTTTAGAAGAACACACTTAAAGTATTAAACGACACGTACAGAGCTACTGAATCAGCATCCTGATAGTATGATACAGAATATAGAAAGAGAAAACATTAATAACACAGATCTGGATCACTTTTTGCATTTATGTAAGATGAAAAAATCTGCTCACAAACTTTGAAATTTGAAAATCCCTTTTATTCCCACAATATACAGTCACAGTTAAAATCTAAACATCACACAGTAAAAAGATTCAGCGGCTCACTGACTTGTGAATCACATTTAGTAAAAAGCAGCTGCAGATGAAGAGTTAAGGCTGATTTTAAAGTTTCTGGAATTCTGAATGTGTGAAAGGAACAAACGTTCCTCTGTTCCACACAGGATGTGACTGTTACAAAATGCTGAACCTCCTTCATACATTTAAGAAGGTTTAAGGTTCAGACGGGTTCGAGTTATAATCTGAGCTTCGTGGGGGACTCTAACGTTACCGGCGGAGATAAATAAATAAAAATAATAATAAGGGGAGAGAGAGAGATTGTTGCTTATTACGTGGTCCAACATTTCAACATGTTACGCAACGCTGGTACACAGTTAAGCAGATTACTATATGTAGTGCTGTACTAATTCAAGGACGCATTATAAAGCCAATAATACTGAACAAACAAGCAGCAGTCAATAAAGACTCTCAATCAGTACAACACAACCAAGTTCATGTTCGCGGCCTCAACCTATTCGGTCAAATTCAAAGTAATGGTTGTTGAAATGAATTAGTGACCCCTGTTGGCGCACATTTAAGTTGTTTTGCACGCGTGTTTCAGGCGTGCTGTTTCCTTTGGCTTAAAATAATAAAATAAAATAATAAACTTTCAAAAGTCTGAACTTAACGTCGGATATGCCAATCCATTTATTAACATAACAAAAAATAAAACATTTATTCAAAAATAACTTAACTCAAGTCAGTCTCCATAATTACAGGCCGTGCCTCACGGTTAAAAACCATGCACCTCGCAGTGCGCCACACCTGCACTAATTACCAAATGTCTTAAGTAGACTTGTGGCTGCACACAGCGCCAACCCATGGCTATACACAGAATGGCTCCAACAATCCCCACAGATGCATGATTTTACTGCTTCCATGGGAGCTCAGACCTCCATATGTGAGCTGAGCTCGAACCTTGTGTTCAGACTTCTGTACCTACAACAGATTCCATCTGTGATCACCAGGACTGTGATCTGACTCATGAAAAGTTTTCTTCTGCAATAAATCATTCACAAGATAAAATAAGAGACTTTCTTGATCCATCACTGGGGAAAAAAAGGCTACACTGTTAATATATATAATAATAATAATCCTTATTTGTAGAGCACTTTTCAAAAACAAGTTACAAAGTGCTTTAACAAGTGTAAAGAATAATACAAAAAAACAAAATAAGAGCATGAAAAATTAATATAAAATTAGTAAAATACAATAAAATAAAAGGGATAAAATAAAGTCAAATAAGATCGGGAAAGGCTCTCCTATAAAAGTATGTTTTAAGAAGGGACTTAAAAGAGTTCACTGACTCAGCCGACCTGATTTCCTCGGGCAGGCTGTTCCAGAGCCTCGGGGCCCTGACAGCAAACGCTCTGTCCCCTTTAGTTTTCAGTCGAGACTCTGGAACAGACAACAGACCTCTGCCCGAGGATCTCAAGGTACGTGCTGGTGCGTATGGGACTAAAAGGTCAGAAATATAACAAGGCGAGAGGCCATGAAGAGCTTTAAAAGTGATCAATAGAATTTTAAAGTCAATTCTAAAACATACTGGGAGCCAGTGTAATGAAGCTAAAATAGGAGTAATGTGGTCATATTTCTTTGTTCTGGTTAAAAGCCTGGCAGCTGAGTTCTGGACAGTCTGGAGTCCATCAATAGATTTTTGGGTTAAACAGGTGAAAAGGCTGTTGCAATAATCCAGGCGTGATGAGATGAAGGCGTGTAAAATGGTCTCGGTGTCCTTAAAAGTTAACATAGATGGAATTTTTGCTATATTTCTAAGTTGATAAAAACATGATTGAACAAGCTTTGTGGTGTGCTGCTCGAAATTTAAATTACTATCAAACCAAACACCAAGGTTCTTTGCCACAGGCTTAATGTGATTTACTAGGGAACCAGCAGATGGCAGTATTTGTTTTGCCATCTGCTGAGACCCGATGACCAGGATTTCTGTTTTGTCTGAGTTCAGTTGGAGGAAATTATTTTACATCCATATTTTTACTTCACAAAGGCAGTTGTTAAGTGAACTCAGCATTCCAGGGTCTGTGGATCTGACGGGCAAGTATATTTGTGTGTCATCAGCATAAATATGAAAAGAAATGCCATGTTTATGGATAATATGTCCAGGGGAAGCAGATACAAGGAAAACAAGATGGGTCCCAAGACTGACCCCTGAGGCACACCATATTTAACTGGACAGAACGAAGAGACATAGTTGTTTACAGACACACAAAACTGCCTATTTGACAGGTAGGATGAAAACCATTCTAGGGCAGTACCAGAGATCCCCACCCAGTTACTTGTTGCCCCAAAAGTTCAAGAATCCAGATCTACTGTGTCTATTTAACTCTTCATGGATCTGTTTGATTGCCTCATCGTTTCTCCTACACTTCAGTAATCCCTGCAGAGTCTCGTGGAAGAGAACGTGAACATCCAACGCGACGCTCTGATAGTTTTCAGACCATCTTTTCACATCAATTGAAAAGTCGAAATCTCGGGTGTGATGCATCAGCACTAGAACAACAGGTTTACCACCTGATGACACAAGAGAGAAGAACAAGACAAAGGTTAGAGAAGAAGAAGAATAAGCAGGAGAACGTTACCCTCCTTAAAACACAAGTATTTCAAAAACATAATCAGTACAGGCAGGAGAACGTTGCCCTCCTTAAAACACAAGAGAGAAGAACAAGACAAAGGTTAGAGAAGAAGAACACGCAAAAGAACATTACCATCCTTAAAACACAAGAGAAAAGAACAAGACAAAGGTTAGAGAAGAAGAAGAACAGGCAGGAGAACGTTACCCTCCTTAAAACACAAGAGAGAAGAACAAGACAAAGGTTAGAGAAGAAGAAGAACAGGCAGAAGAACGTTACCCTCCTTAAAACACAAGAGAAAAGAACAAGACAAAGGTTAGAGAAGAAGAAGAACAGGCAGGAGAACGTTACTCTCCTTAAAACACAAGAGAGAAGAACAAGACAAAGGTTAGAGAAGAAGAAGAACAGGCAGGAGAACGTTACCCTCCTTAAAACAAAGAGAAAAGAACAAGACTAAGGTTAGAGAAGAAGAATAACATGCAGGAGAACATTACCCTCCTTAAAACACAAGTATTACAAAAACATAATCAGTACAGGCAGGAGAACATTACCCTCCTTAAAACACAAGAGAGAAGAACAAGACAAAGGTTAGAGAAGAAGAAGAACAGGCAGGAGAACGTTACCCTGCTTAAAACACAAGAGAGAAGAACAAGACAAAGGTTAGGGAAGAAGAAGAACAGGCAGGAGAACGTTACCCTCCTTAAAACACAAGAGAGAAGAACAAGACAAAGGTTAGAGAAGAAGAAGAACAGGCAGCAGAACGTTACCCTCCTTAAAACACAAGAGAGAAGAACAAGACAAAGATTAGAGAAGAAGAAGAACATGCAGGAGAACGTTACCCTCCTTAAAACACAAGTATTACAAAAACATAATCAGTACAGGCAGGAGAACATTACCCTCCTTAAAACACAAGAGAGAAGAACAAGACAAAGGTTAGAGAAGAAGAAACAGGCAGGAGAACGTTACCCTGCTTAAAACACAAGAGAGAAGAACAAGACAAAGGTTAGGGAAGAAGAAGAACAGGCAGGAGAACGTTACCCTCCTTAAAACACAAGAGAGAAGAACAAGACAAAGGTTAGAGAAGAAGAAGAACAGGCAGCAGAACGTTACCCTCCTTAAAACACAAGAGAAAAGAACAAGACAAAGATTAGAGAAGAAGAAGAACATGCAGGAGAACGTTACCCTCCTTAAAACACAAGCGAGAAGAACAAGACAAAGGTTAGAGAAGAAGAAGAACAGGCAGGAGAACGTTACCCTCCTTAAAACACAAGAGAAAAGAACAAGACAAAGGTTAGAGAAGAAGAAGAACAGGCAGAAGAACGTTACCCTCCTTAAAACACAAGAGAGAAGAACAAGACAAAGGTTAGAGAGAAGAAGAACAGGCAGGAGAAGGTTACCCTGCTTAAAACACAAGAGAGAAGAACAAGACAAAGGTTAGAGAAGAAGAAGAACAGGCAGGAGAACGTTACCCTGCTTAAAACACAAGAGAGAAGAACAAGACAAAGGTTAGAGAAGAAGAACAGGCAGGAGAACGTTGCCATCCTTAAAACAAGAGAGAAGAACAAGACAAAGGTTAGAGAAGAAGAAGAACAGGCAGGAGAACGTTACCCTGCTTAAAATACAGGAGAGAAGAACAAGACAAAGGTTAGAGAAGAAGAAGAACAGGCAGGAGAATGTTACCCTCCTTAAAAAACAAGAGAGAAGAACAAGACAAAGGTTAGAGAAGAAGAAGAAGAACAGGCAGGAGAACGTTACCCTCCTTAAAACACAAGTATTACAAAACATAATCAGTACAGGCAGGAGAACATTACCCTCCTTAAAACACAAGAGAGAAGAACAAAACAAAGGTTAGAGAAGAGAAGAACATGCAGGAGAACGTTACCCTCCTTAAAACACAAGTATTTCAAAAACATAATCAGTTCAGGCAGGAGAACGTTGCCCTCCTTAAATCACAAGAGAGAAGAACAAGACAAAGGTTAGAGAAGAAGAACACGCAAAAGAACATTACCATCCTTAAAACACAAGAGAAAAGAACAGACTAAGGTTAGAGAAGAAGAAGAACATGCAGGAGAACATTACCCTCCTTAAAACACAAGTATTACAAAACATAATCAGTACAGGCAGGAGAACATTACCCTCCTTAAAACACAAGAGAGAAGAACAAGACAAAGGTTAGAGAAGAAGAAGAACAGGCAGGAGAACGTTACCCTGCTTAAAACACAAGAGAGAAGAACAAGACAAAGGTTAGGGAAGAAGAAGAACAGGCAGGAGAACGTTACCCTCCTTAAAACACAAGAGAGAAGAACAAGACAAAGGTTAGAGAAGAAGAAGAACAGGCAGGAGAACGTTACCCTCCTTAAAATACAGGAGAGAAGAACAAGACAAAGGTTAGAGAAGAAGAACACGCAAAAGAACATTACCATCCTTAAAACACAAGTATTTCAAAAACATAATCAGTTCAGGCAGGAGAACGTTGCCCTCCTTAAATCACAAGAGAGAAGAACAAGACAAAGGTTAGAGAAGAAGAACACGCAAAAGAACATTACCATCCTTAAAACACAAGAGAAAAGAACAAGACAAAGGTTAGAGAAGAAGAACAGGCAGGAGAATGTTACCCTCCTTAAAACACAAGAGAAAAGAACAAGACAAACGTTAGAGAAGAAGAAGAACAGGCAGGAGAACATTACCCTCCTTAAAACACAAGAGAAAAGAACAAGACAAAGGTTAGAGAAGAAGAAGAACAGGCAGAAGAACGTTACCCTCCTTAAAACACAAGAGAAAAGAACAAGACAAAGATTAGAGAAGAAGAAGAACATGCAGGAGAACGTTACCCTCCTTAAAACACAAGTATTACAAAAACATAATCAGTACAGGCAGGAGAACATTACCCTCCTTAAAACACAAGAGAGAAGAACAAGACAAACGTTAGAGAAGAAGAAGAACAGGCAGGAGAACGTTACCCTGCTTAAAACACAAGAGAGAAGAACAAGACAAAGGTTAGAGAAGAAGAAGAACAGGCAGGAGAACGTTACCCTGCTTAAAATACAGGAGAGAAGAACAAGACAAAGGTTAGAGAAGAAGAAGAACAGGCAGGAGAACGTTACCCTCCTTAAAACACGAGAGAAGAACAAGACAAAGGTTAGAGAAGAAGAAGAACAGGCAGGAGAACGTTACCCTCCTTAAAACACAAGAGAGAAGAACAAGACAAAGGTTAGAGAAGAAGAAGAACAGGCAGGAGAACGTTACCCTCCTTAAAACACAAGAGAAAAGAACAAGACTAAGGTTAGAGAAGAACAAGAACATGCAGGAGAACATTACCCTCCTTAAAACACAAGTATTACAAAAACATAATCAGTACAGGCAGGAGAACATTACCCTCCTTAAAACACAAGAGAGAAGAACAAGACAAAGGTTAGAGAAGAAGAAGAACAGGCAGGAGAACGTTACCCTGCTTAAAACACAAGAGAGAAGAACAAGACAAAGGTTAGAGAAGAAGAAGAACAGGCAGGAGAACGTTACCCTGCTTAAAACACAAGAGAGAAGAAGAAGAACAGGCAGGAGAACGTTACCCTCCTTAAAACACAAGAGAGAAGAACAAGACAAAGGTTAGGGAAGAAGAAGAACAGGCAGGAGAACGTTACCCTCCTTAAAACACAAGAGAGAAGAACAAGACAAAGGTTAGAGAAGAGGAAGAACAGGCAGGAGAACGTTACCCTGCTTAAAATACAGGAGAGAAGAACAAGACAAAGGTTAGAGAAGAAGAAGAACAGGCAGGAGAACGTTACCCTGCTTAAAATACAGGAGAGAAGAACAAGACAAAGGTTAGAGAAGAAGAAGAACAGGCAGGAGAATGTTACCCTCCTTAAAAAACAAGAGAGAAGAACAAGACAAAGGTTAGAGAAGAAGAAGAAGAACAGGCAGGAGAACGTTACCCTCCTTAAAACACAAGTATTACAAAAACATAATCAGTACAGGCAGGAGAACATTACCCTCCTTAAAACACAAGAGAGAAGAACAAAACAAAGGTTAGAGAAGAAGAAGAACAGGCAGGAGAACGTTACCCTCCTTAAAACACAAGTATTTCAAAAACATAATCAGTTCAGGCAGGAGAACGTTGCCCTCCTTAAATCACAAGAGAGAAGAACAAGACAAAGGTTAGAGAAGAAGAACACGCAAAAGAACATTACCATCCTTAAAACACAAGAGAAAAGAACAAGACTAAGGTTAGAGAAGAAGAAGAACATGCAGGAGAACATTACCCTCCTTAAAACACAAGTATTACAAAAACATAATCAGTACAGGCAGGAGAACATTACCCTCCTTAAAACACAAGAGAGAAGAACAAGACAAAGGTTAGAGAAGAAGAAGAACAGGCAGGAGAACGTTACCCTGCTTAAAACACAAGAGAGAAGAACAAGACAAAGGTTAGGGAAGAAGAAGAACAGGCAGGAGAACGTTACCCTCCTTAAAACACAAGAGAGAAGAACAAGACAAAGGTTAGAGAAGAAGAAGAACAGGCAGGAAAACGTTACCCTGCTTAAAATACAGGAGAGAAGAACAAGACAAAGGTTAGGGAAGAAGAAGAACATGGAGGAGAACGTTACCCTGCTTAAAATACAGGAGAGAAGAACAAGACAAAGGTTAGAGAAGAAGAAGAACATGCAGGAGAACGTTACCCTCCTTAAAACACAAGTATTTCAAAAACATAATCAGTTCAGGCAGGAGAACGTTGCCCTCCTTAAATCACAAGAGAGAAGAACAAGACAAAGGTTAGAGAAGAAGAACACGCAAAAGAACATTACCATCCTTAAAACACAAGAGAAAAGAACAAGACAAAGGTTAGAGAAGAAGAAGAACAGGCAGGAGAATGTTACCCTCCTTAAAACACAAGAGAAAAGAACAAGACAAACGTTAGAGAAGAAGAAGAACAGGCAGGAGAACGTTACCCTGCTTAAAACACAAGAGAGAAGAACAAGACAAAGGTTAGAGAAGAAGAAGAACAGGCAGGAGAACGTTACCCTGCTTAAAATACAGGAGAGAAGAACAAGACAAAGGTTAGAGAAGAAGAAGAACAGGCAGGAGAACGTTACCCTCCTTAAAACACGAGAGAAGAACAAGACAAAGGTTAGAGAAGAAGAAGAACAGGCAGGAGAACGTTACCCTCCTTAAAACACAAGAGAGAAGAACAAGACAAAGGTTAGAGAAGAAGAAGAACAGGCAGGAGAACGTTACCCTCCTTAAAACACGAGAGAAGAACAAGACAAAGGTTAGAGAAGAAGAAGAACAGGCAGGAGAACGTTACCCTCCTTAAAACACAAGAGAGAAGAACAAGACAAAGGTTAGAGAAGAAGAAGAACAGGCAGGAGAACATTACCCTCCTTAAAACACAAGTATTACAAAAACATAATCAGTACAGGCAGGAGAACATTACCCTCCTTAAAACACAAGAGAGAAGAACAAGACAAAGGTTAGAGAAGAAGAAGAACAGGGAGGAGAACTTAACCCTGCTTAAAACACAAGAGAGAAGAACAAGACAAAGGTTAGAGAAGAAGAAGAACAGGCAGGAGAACGTTACCCTGCTTAAAACACAAGAGAGAAGAACAAGACAAAGGTTAGAGAAGAAGAAGAACAGGCAGGAGAACGTTACCCTCCTTAAAACACAAGAGAGAAGAACAAGACAAAGGTTAGGGAAGAAGAAGAACAGGCAGGAGAACGTTACCCTCCTTAAAACACAAGAGAGAAGAACAAGACAAAGGTTAGAGAAGAGGAAGAACAGGCAGGAGAACGTTACCCTGCTTAAAATACAGGAGAGAAGAACAAGACAAAGGTTAGAGAAGAAGAAGAACAGGCAGGAGAACGTTACCCTCCTTAAAACACAAGAGAGAAGAACAAGACAAAGGTTAGAGAAGAAGAAGAACAGGCAGGAGAACGTTACCCTCCTTAAAATACAGGAGAGAAGAACAAGACAAAGGTTAGAGAAGAAGAAGAACAGGCAGGAGAACGTTACCCTCCTTAAAACACAAGAGAGAAGAACAAGACAAAGGTTAGGGAAGAAGAAGAACATGCAGGAGAACGTTACCCTGCTTAAAATACAGGAGAGAAGAACAAGACAAAGGTTAGAGAAGAAGAAGAACATGCAGGAGAACGTTACCCTCCTTAAAACACAAGTATTTCAAAAACATAATCAGTTCAGGCAGGAGAACGTTGCCCTCCTTAAATCACAAGAGAGAAGAACAAGACAAAGGTTAGAGAAGAAGAACACGCAAAAGAACATTACCATCCTTAAAACACAAGAGAAAAGAACAAGACAAAGGTTAGAGAAGAAGAAGAACAGGCAGGAGAATGTTACCCTCCTTAAAACACAAGAGAAAAGAACAAGACAAACGTTAGAGAAGAAGAAGAACAGGCAGGAGAACGTTACCCTCCTTAAAACACAAGAGAAAAGAACAAGACAAAGGTTAGAGAAGAAGAAGAACAGGCAGAAGAACGTTACCCTCCTTAAAACACAAGAGAAAAGAACAAGACAAAGATTAGAGAAGAAGAAGAACATGCAGGAGAACGTTACCCTCCTTAAAACACAAGTATTACAAAAACATAATCAGTACAGGCAGGAGAACATTACCCTCCTTAAAACACAAGAGAGAAGAACAAGACAAAGGTTAGAGAAGAAGAAGAACAGGCAGGAGAACGTTACCCTGCTTAAAACACAAGAGAGAAGAACAAGACAAAGGTTAGAGAAGAAGAAGAACAGGCAGGAGAACGTTACCCTGCTTAAAATACAGGAGAGAAGAACAAGACAAAGGTTAGAGAAGAAGAAGAACAGGCAGGAGAACGTTACCCTCCTTAAAACACGAGAGAAGAACAAGACAAAGGTTAGAGAAGAAGAAGAACAGGCAGGAGAACGTTACCCTCCTTAAAACACAAGAGAGAAGAACAAGACAAAGGTTAGAGAAGAAGAAGAACAGGCAGGAGAACGTTACCCTCCTTAAAACACAAGAGAGAAGAACAAGACAAAGGTTAGAGAAGAAGAAGAACAGGCAGGAGAACGTTACCCTGCTTAAAATACAGGAGAGAAGAACAAGACAAAGGTTAGAGAAGAAGAAGAACAGGCAGGAGAACGTTACCCTCCTTAAAACACAAGAGAGAAGAACAAGACAAAGGTTAGAGAAGAAGAAGAACAGGCAGGAGAACGTTACCCTCCTTAAAACACAAGAGAAAAAAGAACAAGACTAAGGTTAGAGAAGAACAAGAACATGCAGGAGAACATTACCCTCCTTAAAACACAAGTATTACAAAAACACAATCAGTACAGGCAGGAGAACATTACCCTCCTTAAAACACAAGAGAGAAGAACAAGACAAAGGTTAGAGAAGAAGAAGAACAGGCAGGAGAACGTTACCCTGCTTAAAACACAAGAGAGAAGAACAAGACAAAGGTTAGAGAAGAAGAAGAACAGGCAGGAGAACGTTACCCTGCTTAAAACACAAGAGAGAAGAACAAGACAAAGGTTAGAGAAGAAGAAGAACAGGCAGGAGAACGTTACCCTCCTTAAAACACAAGAGAAAAGAACAAGACAAAGGTTAGGGAAGAAGAAGAACAGGCAGGAGAACGTTACCCTCCTTAAAACACAAGAGAGAAGAACAAGACAAAGGTTAGAGAAGAAGAAGAACAGGCAGGAGAACGTTACTGTCCTTAAAACACAAGTATTACAAAAACATAATCAGTTCAGGCAGGAGCTGTTTTAAACACCATCCCCTCGTGCAGGTTAATAAACGTAGGAGAGACTCTGAGACAACGGGCCCCCGGACAGACATGTGGAAGGGCCCCCAGCTTCCCACTGAGAGCTGCTATAATGTCACTTCACATTAATCTTCTAATTGGCTGCAGCATTCTCTACTGCTGTCACTGAAGTGTTTTCACGTCCTGCACATCGAGCCAGCTGATTGGCTGATTTAGCTCCTGTCGGGAGGCGGTTTGACTTGGAGGAAAACAAATGTAAAGGTGCAGGAATCTTAGTGACCTCTGAACACGTTCTCCTTCATACACCCGGAGAAACTGAAGTGCAGCTTCAGACAGAACTCTGGTTCTGTTGAGGACGTGGAAATGAAAAACAAGTCTTTACCTGGAACATCTCTCATGGCTGCCTCCACATCTGATCCAGTACGTGACGTGATTGGACAGAAGACGATGATGACGTCACATTTCTGCAGGTCCGTGGTCTCCACCTTTGTTTCTAGAAGCCTTTTATTAAGCTTCACTTGTTCCAGTATGGCCTGATCAGCGCCACAGGTACGACCAGTAGAGATCGAGTGGACTTTCACTTTATTCCAAAAATATCCTGATGAGATGAACACACTGGTAACTTTAAAATAACTAACTTATAACATACAAATTGTTACAAATACACATGTATATATGATAACCTTTGTCAGCTTTCTTCTGTGGAGCTTTTATACATTTTATGAAGTCAACAAATTCCTCTGGGTCTTTGTTAAAGCATTTCTCCAACAAACGTTCAGCTTCTACAGAGAGACAGTTAAAGACATACAACATGTTAACATAGAAATATATATTATGTGATTTTATATTTTATACAGTAGTTTTTGCAATAAATTTAGATGAAATTAATAAAAATAAAAACTTTTACAAACGATTGAAATGTTCTGGCATCAAATTTCTTAGTTCCTCTTTTAGTTTTTCCAGTTTTTCCTTCTCTTGGTCCTCAGGCTTCTGCTTCTGAAACACACAAAGTAAAACATTCAATTAAACACAGAAAGTACAAGAAGTAAATGATAAGCGTTACTTTCTGAGCCGGGAAGTAAGTACATTAAGTACACCCGCGACCCCGTACGCAGGATAAATGGTTGACGATGGATGGATGGAACTCAAGTACAGTACTATGAGTACAAATGTGAGATTAACTATCAACTGTATATGACTGATGAAGTAGTTACAATCTGTTCACCTTTAACGTCAACGTCCAACATTACAGTACTGCTTACATATTAATACATGATAATGATGAGTACTATTTTTTGCGAATACGTACTTTCACTCTGAATGCAGGCGTCCTTCTTGTAACAGAGTAGTTTTATAGTGTAAATGCAAATGCTCCGTACTTGTATAGCGCCTTTCTAGTCTTTTCGACCACTCAAAGCGCTTTTACACTACATCTGCATTCACCATTCACACACATTCATACACTGAGCCTAAGTGCTCAAACAGAAACTAACATTCACACTCACTCATACACTGGCGGGGTTCAGTATCTTGCCCAAGGACACTTCGACATGCAACATCATCCAATTACAGCGTCCCCTCACGAGCCTCAGTAACGTTATACGTGAAGTGATGTTAAATGCAGCTACTGTGAAAATTGACTAAAGAGCAGCAAGTGAAGCCTCGTACGTGTATCACACTGTCAGACAGTGAAATGCCCCTCATTAACCTCTTCTTTAACCGTTTTCCAGGAAAAATGCCTAAAATAACAAACCTAAATGAATCAGGAATAACTCCTCAACCATCAGGCCTAGATGCATAATTCTGGTCTCCTTTGGAAGGTCAGAAGCTGAGGAATATGTAAATATGACAATACAGAGTAAATGGAGATACAACAAAGCATAATGTAAGTATTTAATCCTTGCCTGGTATACAATCAGAATCAGAAGTAGTGTTTTCCACATACAAGGAATTTGCTGTGGTGATAAGGTGCTACACGTAGACAAACATACAGGTGACATAAATAAATGTGGAAATCTATAAATATGGAATTGACAAATGCAAGTCATATCAGAATAATAAAAAGAAAAGTAAATTAAAGCTGCAAGCAGCGTTGGGCGGGCCCTCGCACTAGTAGCGCGTCCGCGCGTGAGCCGGCCGAGTTGCATATTCTGGAGCTCTGCCGGTGCGGCTGTGAATTTGCTACGCGGTTCCGACGCCGCATGAAGGTGCTATATGTCACTTCCTGTGTCCCCTATGTGGAGCTACATAGCACTTGCCGCTATGAATATAAATCGGTATTGGTGTGTAGATGTCTGCGGGGTGGGAGAGTTAACAAGCACGTAAAGTTTGTTTCAGATGTGAACATGTACACTGAACAATAATGTACCCAAACAATAAAATAAATTCCTTTTATATTTCCCTGCCTTGTTGTTTATGTGTACATACAGAGGAAGAATGTGAGAACAGCACACATTTCATCGTTACTGTGTGTTAGAGCATGGGAGAACAGCGGATACTTTTAATACAGCCCACACCCCTAATACTGTGTAACTATAACAAGTAGAGAACAGAAGAAAAAGATGTTCTTTCTTTACAACTGTCTGCATAGCTTATTCATATTGTATAATGAATGAAAATAAATAGGCCTACTAGGCTCCTCTCTACTTTGACATTTAAGATTAGCTGGTTTGATCCACCTTCATACACATGTGACATTACTGTACAACTTGAGAAAGGTGAGTTGTTTTCTGCTCCAGCCTGCCTAAAAGAAAAGCGTTTTTGGGATTAAATGGACTTTATTAGCTGCTGCAGTGCAGGATGAACTCAGAACAGACCCATTTCTCACCTTATTATTCTAAATCATGCAACGAAGAAGAAGAAATGCATAAGAAATCCTGGGACAAAATCTGTCCACAGCATGTAGTCTGATGAACAAGACTTGTGTTATAGCTGACTTGGGCAGTGAAATGTTTTTTTAATTCATGTGGTCATAGTTGTCCACAACTCAAATCAGAATATAAGAAGAAATGTTTTATACCACCTCAAGAAGGCTTCCTATCAGAAAGGTAGGAAGGTATTTCAAATGTACAACTGCAGTACTTAAATCTAAGTAAAGTAATTTCCCTGACATTACTGTGTTACCCATGTAACAGGTTTTATACTTCCTGTGAGTATAATCCAATCAATCTTATTTTCATACTGTATATCCGTTGTGTAATTTGATAAATTGTGTTGTATGTGGTGCTCGCATCGGGTACTACTGAGACTTCATTGCCCTCTTCAGAGAAGACTCTGACTGCAACATGCGTCTTTGTAAAGAGAGAAACAGACAGAAAAAGTCTCTAACTCTGCCTGTCAGCTCGCTCTGCTCCGTTAAAACTGAATTTACCATACAGAATTGAATACGAGTGCACTCCAGATTTAGCTGCAGCCAGCTGACTGTGTGCTTCTCCCTATACCGCAGTTCTGTGTCCATGCATGCAGCAAACTGAAAGCAGCGTCTACGTGAAAAGAGAAGGAATACGTTGCTGGTAGTATTGTCTTCAGAGTTGTTAAACACCTCAACGCACTGAAGGAAGCCATCTGACTGTGTGAGGGGCAAGATCGTTGATGTCTGCAGGCAGAGTAGGAGCTCTCCTGTCTGACTGGTCCACCAATAGCAGAGAAGATGACCCCTTGAGACACAGCCCCTCCTCATTTGCATAATGAGGCAGAAATGCATACAAAAATTTAAAAAAGACAGGCAGAAATAAATACCATGGGTGAAAATAAATAAGGTAAATAAATACAAAGGAAGAATAAAACAGACAAAAATATTAAAACACACACATAAATAAATACATTAAAAAAATTAGTAATAAATAAAGTTGAATAAACAAATAAGGTAATTATAACAAAGGTGAATAGTAAAGGCACTAATTAAAATATATACATTTATGTCTCCTTGTATAATTTAATTACTACCTACATTTATTTATTTACTTTATTTTTTTGTGTATTTAATTGGATGCTTATTTATTTATTGAGCATTTATTTATTTCTGTATTTATTTCTGACTGTGTCAGGATCGGTCCTCCATAGTGGGGTGGGAGAGTTATCAAGCACGTAAAGTTTGGTTCAGATGTGAGCATGTACACTGAAGTTACAACAACTTCCTGTGTCATGGCGAAGACTTGATCTCTGACGCCACGCCACGGACACACCCATTGACGAAAACTCGCAAATAGCACAACTTTTCATCTTCAATGCCTTTAGAAGGCACAGCACAAATTTGAAGTCGGTCGGACTAAATCCCTAGGAGGAGTTCGTTAAAGTACGAAGTGTGTAAATCATCCAAAATTTGACGTAAAATTCAAAATGGCCGACTTCCTGTTGATTTTAGGGCATCGCTCCAAGAGGCTTTTTTGTGCGTCTGGACAAGATACACGTACCACAGAAAATTCGTGCACGTAGGTAAAACGTGCGGCGGGGGCTGCTTCGTTAAAAGTCACTTCCTGTTGCCAGCAGGTGGCGCTATGACTGTCTGTGAATGTCAGCATGTACATGTGTTCAGGGCGGGACTCTCATCCTACATGTACAGTTTGGTCCAGATGTGAGCATGTACACTGAAGTTACGACAACTTCCGTGTCATGGCGAAGAGCTGATCTTTGACGCCACGCCACGGACACGCCCATTGACGAAAACTTGCAAATAGCACAACTTTTCATCTTCAATGCCTTTAGAAGGCACAGCAAAAATTTGAGGTCGGTCGGACTAAATCCCTAGGAGGAGTTCGTTAAAGTACGAAGTGTGTAAATCATCCAAAATTTGACGTAAAATTCAAAATGGCCGACTTCCTGTTGGGTTTAGGCTATGGCTCCAAGAGACTTTTTTGTGCGTCTGGACAAGATACACGTACCACAGAAAATTCTTGCACGTAGGTAAAACGTGCGGCGGGGGCTGCTTCGTTAAAAGTCACTTCCTGTTGCCAGCAGGTGGCGCTATGACTGTGGGTGAATGTCGGCATGTACATGTCTTCAGGGCGGGACTCTCATCCTACATGTACAGTTTGGTCCAGATGTGAGCATGTACACTGAAGTTACAACAACTTCCTGTTTCATAGCGAATCATCGACGCCACGGACACGCCCATTGACGAAAACGCGCAAATAGCACAACTTTTCATCGTCAATGCCTTTAGAAGGCACAGCAGAAATTTGACGTCAATCCGACTAAATCCCTAGGAGGAGTTCGTTAAAGTACGAAGTGTGTAAATCATCCAAAAATGGCCGTAAAATTCAAAATGGCCGACTTCCTGTTGACTTTAGGCTATGGGTTCTTGAGGCTTTTTTGTGCGTCTTGATACGATACATGTCCCCAGAAAATTTCGTACATGTAGGTTGAACGTGAACGAGGGGCTAATCATTTCCAATTTTCTAGGTGGCGCTAGCGAGTCATTTTGCCACGCCCATGTGCGAAACTTGTAGAATACGAAATTTTTCACCGGTTCTGACATGTTTGCAAATTTTGGTGAGTTTTCGAGTATGTTTAGGCCATGTCATTTGGGCCTACTTTGCATAAAAAAAAAATAATAAAAAAATATATATATATAATCCGAGCAATTTCAATAGGGACCTCGCACGGTCGTGCTCGGGCCCTAAAAATCCGAGCAAATTCAATAGGGACCTCGCACGGTCGTGCTCGGGCCCTAATTAAAAAAAATAATAATCCGAGCAAATTCAATAGGGACCTCGCACGGTCGTGCTCGGGCCCTAAATAATAATAATAATCCGAGCAAATTCAATAGGGACCTCGCACGGTCGTGCTCGGGCCCTAATAATCCGAGCAAATTCAATAGGGACCTCGCACGGTCGTGCTCGGGCCCTAAATATAATCCGAGCAAATTCAATAGGGACCTCGCACGGTCGTGCTCGGGCCCTAATAAATAATCCGAGCAAATTCAATAGGGACCTCGCACGGTCGTGCTCGGGCCCTAATAAATAATCCGAGCAAATTCAATAGGGACCTCGCACGGT